CTCAAAAATAAAAAAGAAAGAAAAAAAGAAAAACACATTAGATTATTTTATCATCCTCATTATTGTGAGTTTGTGAGTTCTGAAAATTATATTTTAATGATAATTCAAAAAATTGAATTTGCCTAAGCCTATAGTTCTTTTTTAACAAGTCTTAATTTATTCAAGAAATTTTCCAAACCACACTTTAATACTCATAAGTAGGATTTTCTTTTATCAAATAGGCAAGTTTTTCAAAGTGAGAATAGTTTTTCTTAATCCACATTCGGTTTTTTTTCTTCTTTTTTTTCTCCAGGTACCTAGGAAGATTCTAAGCCCTGTGAGCATGAGCATAGTTGACCAACATGCATCAGATTTAAGCTCAATTCCTTAAAATTTTTACCAGTATATTACCTTCTACTCTTAGTAAGTTTTTTGTTACAACTATTACTTTTTTTTATGCTTCTGGAAAAAGAGCCTCTTTGAAAACCAGAAGATTGACTTAATCATCATAAATGGATGAAAAGTATAAATTTCTATAGGTTAAATATTTCAGTGATGAATGTAGAGATGGTGATTATTTTGGGATGGAACGTCCCCTTTTACGCAAACTACGAAGATTTTAATTTTACACAAATTTTGGAAACACAGTAGAGTCTTGATTATCACAGTTTCCGCTTTAACGGAACTATCAAATACTTCAAGGATTTATTTTTTGTTCTAGTTAATTTTTAAAACTACCTCCAAAATTAATTCTAAATTTTATCTTCCAAAAATTCAGAAAAACAAGCTGATGGACAACACGAGTTTACTGATGAAATGATCGTTAATATCGTCAAAAATGAATCTAGCAATGATGATGAAGACCATGACGATAAAAATCAAAATATAAAAATATCTCATACAGTAAAAGCTATCGAAAGTGCTATTGAATATATAGAACAACAAGATCAGAGGACACCATCTGTTATCCCAATAAAGATGGCGAACCATTGCTGCAGAAAAGCGCCAAAGTAATGTAAAACAAAATACAATTAAGGACTTTTTAAAGTAAAAACTCTTTATTTCTCGCAAAGCAAGCTTATAAGTGTTTTTAAGTAAGCTTTTTAATTATAATATGAATTGTATGTGGTGTACTTTTATCAATTTTGTATTTGTTGAATATATTACATTTATACCTAGTAGTTCTTTCCTCTTTTAAACTCGTCGAGTTTTTCGGTTATCCAAGTCAATTGTGGTCCACATTAACTCAGATAATTGGGACTTTACTGTAAATTTGTGAAAAAAAGTGCATGAAATTAATTGCACTATGTTTCATAAGCATTATTTTTTTTTTTTAAGAAACTTTAGTCTAAATAACTAATATGCAATGTAAAAATTAAAAACAAATATGGAATAATCTTTGAGTTTCAGATTAAATATTCAATTAATGATTTTAGAGTGGAGGAATATGTCAGATCTAAAACACACTGTTTAAAATGATGTTATTTACTAATTTGATCAAAGTTTTAAAGTTGACTCCTCACAGTTCATGTCTCAAAGATTTTCGGGAGTAGAAGTGGGAAGTTTTCAAAGCTGTAAAAAAATTTCCTGTGAAAATTTATTGATTTTTCATTTTGCCCTTTGTCAGCTATCCTACATAATTCCAGAAATATAAGAATTTTTTTTTTTGTACAGTTTGGCACTCTTGTCACCAGTAAGATTTCCGTATTGCTATCTGCAGCATAATCATCAAGTTTAGACAACCTCAAAGCAGCAGCCAGCTAGATCTATAAAAAAAAAACATCACAAAAGAGGACCAGTTCAAAGAGTATAATTTGTAGCTACCCCCAGCCAAACCTCTACAGTTTTATCCAAGGAATTGCAAGTTTAAAATCCATTTTGCACCTTGGCGATTGTAGCTGGTGCAGATCACGATAGAGAAATATCTCCCAACCACACCCTCCTTAGATATGTCCCGGACTCTTCAATATTCTATTTCACTCCTAAAAATGTATATAGAGGAGTGAATTAATCACGAAAAATGTTCATGGGATAGCAACACTGCTTGTGAGAATGGGGCCCACATGAAATTTATCCGGACTCAAACACAAAAATTTTCAGTAAATAAATGGAAAAATATAAACTCAACATTATAAATATTAATTTAAACTTACCAAAGAAATCATTTCCTGGATTATTTTCCATTTCATCTTCTATTTCTCTCATCAACGCTTCAATTTTTTTCTCAGCTTCTGTTGGTCCCTTTTGTCTCGGAGGTGTAACATTATAAGGTAAAAATGTTTTTGAATTTAATGTATTAGGTTTATGATCCTCTTTGTAAAAAGTAACAGTTCTTATATTTTCTGGTTCATTAGATAAATCCTCATCTTCTTCCTCACTTTCTTCATCATCTATGTTTGAAAATGAAACTTTTTTTCTTTCTTTACCAACTGAAACGCAAGTTAATTTCTCCGAAACTGCTTCAGGCTGTGCGGAGGATCCATTACCGGAATACCCCGAAACTGGTGTGCTGTCGGACACGTGAAATCCAATAAAATGATTTCCTGAAGTGTTGTACGCAACTTTTGAGTGCATAGGAGAACTCATTTGATGCGAGACATTCTCCGACATTTTATTTAAGACAGGATTATTTTGATTTGACGGATTAACAATAGGGGTGTTTTTAACTTCATGAAGATTTGCATAAATAGGACTGTTAACTACAACGCACGAAGCGGGCATAAGTATAGAATTATAATCTTTGGCAGCCACAGCTGGCTCAGGATATGAATGGCAATCAGATTTAGCACTTGCACTTATTGGTCTACTTTCAGTTCCTTGTACATCCTGAATATTTTCATAAACGGGGTTTGAATCTTCAACATTACTTATAACATCACTAGAAATTTCACTTTTACTTGGAACGATTGTAGCATATTGAGTTTCGTTTTTATAGACAGTGTTGAAAGGGACTGGAGTTACACCTGCTACAGTACGAGTTACAGGCAAAGATTCTTTCAAATCTGTAAAATTATATGATGACGGTATTTGGCCTCCATTCCAGGGAAAGTTAATATCAGCATGAGCATGTTTATTTGTTTCACCGCAGCAATAAGCGAAACTGTTCCCCTGTACTGATGTAGTGTTGCTTTTTGCTTGAATTTTACCGTATGTCCCAGTTGGATCTTCTGCACTTGGAGATAAAGGATTATTAACCAATTTAGAAGGAATGTTTGAGTATATACTTTGATGAACGTCAGGGTTTTCAGCCATACTTAAATAAACAGCACGTGGATACTTAATGTCAAAATGTATTGAAGATTTTTTGGAAAGGAATAGAAGTAAAAATTAACGTCATCAAGACATTTTTAAGGACAAACAATTGAACTATTTACCAGGAGTTTTTTCTTATATATTTATATTAAATCACTGTCGGATAGAAGTTCTCCATTTGATTTTTATTCTTCAATTTCAGTTTACAAATTGCACTCGTTCAAACATCAAAACAAAACATTGACATGTTCTCTTCAAGTTAGTCACTATTGCCATCTATTGAGTACGTAGAAAAGTTATTGTGAAAAGAAAGTATTTCAAGAAGATTTTATCACCTACTGACGCCATCTAGTGCAAATGTATCAAAACTATATTTGTATTTCATTAAGTTAGGAAATTTCATTTATTCATCAAATTATTTTTAAATTGATCAGAAGATTCAAATTAAACTTTAGAATTTCTAGAAACTTAGAAAAAAAAATTTTATACACTGAGAAATTGAATGACCTAAAATAAAAGTTTAAAAAAAATATTATAAATTAAATAACAAAATATCAATTTTAACTGATAAAAATTTAAAAGTAATTAAGTTTAAATTCTTGAAATTAATGTTACGAAGTTACCTCAGCGAAAATCAAAATTCTATTTCGTAAAGCATATTCATTGCCAATAATTTTTTAGTTATTTCCACATAAATAGCGTTTTGCAAAGAGGCAAAAATTAAAATTCGTAAAATTAATAAAAAAGGAAAAGATCTAAAGAGAATTAAAATAATAATAATAATAATAATAGAAAATAAAACAAAAATGATGCAGAATTCTGCAACTATAATTATTTTTTGCCTTGTAAAAAGTTTTAAATTTCCGAAATAAATTAATATCTTTTCTTAAAAAAATGAGCAATAAATAAATAAAAAGAATAAATAAACAATCCTTCTCGATCGAACTTAATTGAACTGTTAAAGGGGGTGGAGCCGGAGAGAGAGAATTCTAAATATGCTTTTTATCTCCTTTATTAATTTTAACAAATAAACTGATATGGTAGACAATTTACTCTCTTCGGCAATATCTTTAGATACGTGTATAAGTCGATGCATGTAAAATAAGATTTAAAGCGTTTGGTATTTCAGATTTTCTTTTAATTTTTTCTGATAAAAAATATACCTATAAAGTTCTGCAATATACCAGTCTTTAAAAGGTTGTAAAGAAGTATACATTTGTCTGTTTTTGGATTTCTTATAAACATCTTTTTTTAATTATTATTATTAACTTTAAAAACTTTTTTCAGCATCTTCCAAATTAGTTTAAGCTGTACAAACATTAAAATTTAAATATGTACAAAAAACTGACTTATGTGCAATTTTAAATTACTCTTACTTTACTAAAAACCATATACAGTGGAGCATCGTTTATACGAC